ATTTTTGTTTTCGAGTAAAAAGTGACGTTTGAAGAGTAAAGGTATAATATAATGTTCTATTAATATACGTCGACGAAGTTAATAAAAATGCAATATATATGCCTATACCTAAGATTGACATTTTTCTTAGATCTCCTGGATCTAATTGCTTTGTTTATATAACAATGGGATGGAAATCCGTTTTAAAAATTACTAGTTGCTATGTGAGCAAATTTCCAAGACATGTTATTTAGAAAACTGAGATGAAAAATGTAAACTTAATTTTAATATTAAAAAAAAAACTCCCTGATTCATTCTCATTCATGTTAAGAAACATAGCAAATATCTATTGTCAAAAAAGATTAATGAAATGGAAAAATCTACTTTTATGACGTCATAGAAACAGAATTAATATGACAATGATTGTTTTCATTATGTTATTATTATTAACGTAGGAAATTATATAAAGTTGAACATAAAATCCTGAAGCCTTGGTGGCTTCCTAGGAAGAGAATAGGTATATCAACCGAAACCTATAAAATCGTCATGATATGTTCATTAGCAATGTAATACGTAACTGTTTGTTATAAACAAAGCATAGCAAAAAAAACGTTAAGCCTTAGTGATGTCCCGGAGTAACGTTGATTTTAATTTCAAATCATATCTTACTTAATCACCTTCATCTGTGCTAAAATTTCACGTATACAGATCAACAAGATAATATCTTACTGTCGAAGAGCATATATATAGCCATTGAAAATGCCGCGTCATACGTACTATACGAGACTTGTTAAGTCTATAAATTTGATTTGAGAGATTTGCTAGATATAAAAAGATTATATCAGGGAGCAACAAACATCTACCCAAATTTTTCCGGGATGTCGAACCTGTACATATATAGTATAGCTCGTAAATTCTGGACTCTTGCGGAATCAATGCGAAATCGATGCATGATAAAGCGAGTGATCACTTGTTTGTTTAGTTGGTTCATTCGTCTCCACTCGTTATTTCCGATCGTACCCAAAGAAAACAGATCTTCGTCAATTTCAGCAAAATTTCATCCTGAAGGCTCCCGTTGCTGGGAGCTCAAGACAACGACATTGTTCCTTAGACAGCAGTGACGGGTCGTACGTGAGGCGATTTCGGGTTACTATATGTAATCCCAGTGTTTTTTTTTTGGAGGAAAGTTTCGACGTAATTAAGTTTTTTGGGGTTGCCACTAAAAATCTTCCCTGCTATAATTGAAGCTGCTTAAAGATTGCGAGCGACTGCAAGAGACTAACAATGAAGCGATTTAATCCCGTATGCGATCAGCGCTGTCCTATTGCATATTTCAGTAGCGTTCGTATTGAGACCTCGGCCATTTGTGCAGAAAAGCAACCCCCTAGTGCAGCAACCGGTTTGAATAGACAAGGTTACTTGGTAGACTGCTAGATATCAGTAGCCGCTGTTCTGTCTCCTCTTTTCAACTTTATTGCCTTGGTTACGGTCTGATGTACGGTCAGCCCCAAATCTGTGACTAAAGGCAGATAAGAGTGGAATCGGTTTTGCTCATTTGTCACTAAGCATGAAAAACGACTCGACCAACTTTCTCGGCCCTCATATTTGATCAAGAAGGTCCTTTAGATAGATGGAGAATAAAAACTGGTTTACGTTATGCCCCTGAACCAAAAGGGAAAATCAGTTATTCCGTCGTTGATGGCTGCTCGGCTCATCTGTAGAATCGCTGCAAGCAAGTTGAGCGAATTCATAGGGAGACCGATCTGGACCAATATAGCCCGGTCCCTGGGCGCAAATTTGAAGGCTTCTTTCAAGTCAAAAAACACTGTATATAGCCGAGTGCATAGCGTGGCCTGTTTTCCCCTGATCTGGCACGCCGTTTCTGTAAGGCGTTCTCTCCGAAGCTTATGTTGCTCTATTGGGATGGCGTATACTGGTTGCTAAGTCTTTTAGTTAGCTAGGAAACCGGAAGGAGCTTAAAACAAACGCTTTTCTTCACCATTGTCGCCATGATGAAAGCACTGTCAATCTTAATTTAATATAGTGAGTGATAAATAGTTCATATAAAAGATGTTAATTCTTCAGCTTCGGTAACTTTCCAGTAATAGAATCAATAGGTTAGCTAACTATATCAATGACGAGATTTATTAAAAGCCAGCTGAAGGCCGGTTTGATTCTCGGAAGTTGGCCGACGGCCGACCTTATTCGAGTGCGCTCCAGAAACAAAGTTAGTCAACCAAAACTTGACAAATTTCGTACTGGCATTGCAGAAGTCTACCAAAAACCAACATATTACGAGAGTGACATATCTACAATTGTCCGAGCTTTCTGGCAAACATATTGAAACAGGTTGGTAAAAAAAATTGCAGAAGGGTAATTGCAAGTAAATAACTGTTGATATATCTTATAGTTCAGATTACGTTGGGTGTAATATCAGTGAAGCGCAACAAAAGAGACAAAACAGGCACAGGACAGAGCCTCCGGATCCGTCTAGTATTCTCTGATTTTCTGCCTCGATTACATTTTGTTTATCTCTAAAGTAAGCACACCTCAACAAAATACTATACGGAACGCATAAAATTTTAGATCAGAAGCAGTGAGTTCAGTATGACAGGCAGGATCGCATAACATACGAACGTGTACTATTTATAATCAGCTGCACGATTCAATTAAATATCAGTGACGTCAAAAACACGCTGCTTGGACTCTTCAATAAATTTTGCTTAGTCAGCGCCTTATTTTGCAGTTCACTGTTCGATCCCTGTGTTGTACATCCAGTATGAAAAGCGTGCCATTTAGATATAAGCCCAACTTACTTTCTGTTCTGATCGACCGGGTTCCACAACAAGTTTCAGATCATCGATGTACAGTTTCGTCTTTGCGCGATTCCAATAACTAAATCGAATAATATCTCGTGGAGTCTATAAATACAATTACAAGAAACTACTCATCAATAGAATATTATAAACCTAAAATGGAAAACAGCTCATTTAGCCTCGTGTAAGGGTATCTGTTATGGTGAAGGTTTAGAAATAGGGCTAGTACTTTCAGGAAATCAATATCCATTGACGGAGCACTCGCAGAGAAAGCTAATAAGTATGCAAAATAAACATTTTTAGGTTTAGCAAGTTATCGTTATATTACTTAGTCGTGTCGATTCTACGTGGTGTCGTAGTGATATTCTATTTGCCGTAATGCATCATTTTGGGAAAAGTTTAATTTGTCGAATATCTATATATATATATATATCAGCTTTATCAGTTTGACATGTTCTTGATACACCTACTGCATTTGCCAATTGACAGTAGAGCCTTCTATTTTCGCCATGTATATAGGGTTTATAGTTTGGCATTCCAACATGAAGCTATATCTGCTGGTTGCGCAGAAGTGTCGCGCTCGTGAAACGTCAAAGGGCCGTATAAAAGATGAATCCTCTGTGCATACGAATAGCGCACAAGACCACCCTGTATAATAATATCGTATGGAAGTTAGCACTCGATTACGAGGTTGTACTTGCAGGATATGGAACAAACTTCATATTGGTACGCTAAAAAATTAGTTTTATTAACGGATTCTGGTTTGTCGATAAATTGGGTCATCATCTGGTCTTAGATTTAGATTTCATTTACATCAGAGACGGCATCGATACGTACTGCGCTAACCGGAACAGTTGTATTTCCTATATTATGTGTATATTAAAGTTATCCGCAAAATC